CCAAGAATGTATAAAAGCATTTAAAGTGAATGTTGGAAATGTAAATGTAAAGAAGGGACTTTTTATCATTTATGGTGGACATGTGAGCAGAGGTGGTGCAATGGTTAGGGTGCAGTACTGCAGGCTACTTCAGCTGACTTATCTGCAGTTTAGTGGTTCTAATCTCACCGGCTCAAGATTGACTCAGCCTTCCATCCTTCTGAGGTGGGTGAAATGAGGACCCAGACTGTGGGAGGAATATGCTGACTCTGTAAACCGCTTAAAACCGTTGAAAGCCCTATGAAGCGGTATATAAATCTAACTGCTATTGCTATTGCTATGTGATAAAGCAAAAAAATATTGGATTAGGATTCATATCTTAATACAGAACATTCTTAAACTTTGATGTTATATATGTTGATGGCAGCAAGACTACTCTATGCACAGAAATGGAAGTTTATCTTGATGCCCACAATGGTTGAATGGCTCCAAAAATTGATGGAGTTAGCAGAGATGGCTAAATTGACTGCTTTGAATGGTATCACTGGAGACTATTCATGATGTGGCATTTGTCCCTACATTAGATAATAATGCTAGCATGGAATTCTTTAGCATCAGTTAAGTTCCTTAACATCCTCAAAAGGTCCTTATCCTTGCGACAGTGATCATAAAGCACACAGCCAAAATCCTCCGGAGTCCAGACCAATTTTCCTAATAAGGCTATGCAAACTTTGAAAATGATTCTGCACAAGCGTACAATTTGTGGCCCCAGGCCACAAATTTAGACAGGCTGACGTAGATATTGCTTAATAGTGATCTTTTTTAAAAAGCTTGTTTCAAGAAGATATTCCTTCAGTGTATAAGACAGACCCAACATACTGAAAATGTTAGCCTTGTGTCTGTATATAAATAAATATATATTAATTTAATAGCCCATATTTTAATGAAAATGAAGGCAGTTCAAAGTTGGTCCTCAACAATAACACAGGCTTGATGGTCTCAATTGCTTTGATCTCTTCTATGAAATAAAAGTACAGTGGATCATATAAAACTGTTTCTGTACCAGCAATTTGATACTTTAATCTACAGTATTTGAGACTTTAATCCATTAAGAATTTATTTCCATATGTTTATATGTATTAATTCTGAACCTACTAGCACAGTATGTGTGTTTGTGCATATACACATTTTTATTTATTTGGTTAATAACCAGCTTTTCACAATTTTTCATATTTTTATACAGAACTTGAAAACAGCTTATACAGCTATACAGGTGAAATAGAAGAATTGCTATGGGGAAAAGAAATCATCAGAAATATGTTTGAGTGAATAGTGATCGTTTTTTCACTTACCCGGTGAGGTGGGGGGGTGAGCCCTGAGGAGCTCTCGCTTCTGGCTCCAAAGGCGCCTGGCATGAGCCAGACGCGACCCGCTCCGGGGACAGTATCAGGTCGGGAGTTTGACTGGGGCGGTACACTTGTCAAACCGTAACGCAGGTGTACTAAGGCGAGCTCAGAGAGGACAGAAACCTCCCACAGAGCAGAAGGGCAAAAGCTCACTTGATCTTGATTTTCAGTACTAATACAGACCATGAAAGCGGGGCCTCACGATCCTTCTGACTTTTTGGGTTTTAAGCAGGAGGTGTCAGAAAAGTTACCATAGGGATAACTGGCTTGTGGCGGCCATTTAAATAAAAAAAAGAAAAAAGAAAAAAAGAAATATGTTTGAGTAGGGAAACAAATGAGTGTGATTAAATACTGGGGCAAATGTTGGAACTTCATCCATGTTCACAAATATATGTTTTCCTGAACTAAAGGTTAATAACTGCCTCCTGAGCCCATGTATGGATAACAGCCAATAAATGGGACGGTACAGGTCCCCAATACTGCAAAGTACAGTATTCAAAATCAAAACAGCTCTCATCAAAATGCAAAAAAGCAAAACAAAATTAATGATCTGGGCAATATTAATCAATTGCATTATTCAGTGTCTTTGCAATCTGCAATTACTCACTCAGTCTATTAATAGATGCAGGCATCCATGAGGATAAATATATTTTTATATTCATTGTATATTAAAACAT